CTTGAGTGCAGCAATGGGCGAGGGATGTGCCCGCTGCACCCCCGCCTTGAAGAACTTCTCCAGATGAAAAAAAATTGGTTACCTGTGCTCAATGGTTGGTCTCACAAAATGATCTGCAGAAAGCCACAGGTGCAGCCAGACAACCCGGATGGCTCTGCTATGCTAGGTATGGACAGAAGCGTGTGCTCACCTATGCAATGCCACTATCCAGAGCCCCCTTCATAATCATCGTTGTCTTTTCTCCACGGGTCCCAACAGGAACGTTTGAAATATCCAGGTGATGTCTGCTTGCAAAACAGCCGTTTCTTTATCAGTACTGTTGCACCGCTGCTAGGACGAATGCCCCTCTTAAGAAGCTCTATCGCTGTGCACAGTTGGTTTAGGAGACGTACATTCGCCTTAAACTGTCGTCCAAAAGGTCGCCTACGATCATATTGATCCTCTTCTGGAATGTTTGCCACAACTTCCTTCCACCATGGACTGGCGTTCCCCGGCTCCCCCAACACCTGGCTTGCGGCAAAAAGTGTATCCAATACCAAATAGCGGAGACCTAGGGGTTGCAGGGCGTCTTTCGGCAACAATTTCATAGCTTCCTTCGTATGGAAGTGCAGCAGGTGGCCGGCGAGCTCTTCCATTTTGCTAATAAAGCCATCTAAATCTGGGTGTAAAACCATATCTTTCACAAGCAGTGAATGCATAAATTGGAGGGCGAAGTGTACTGAATTAGTATAAGGCCTATGCGTAAGAGCAGCAGCCAAAGAAAAAGGCCTTGCGAAAGCACCTGGTTGCAAGACTGGGACCCGATAAAAAGGATGGCCATTGGCGGATGTGAGAGGAATAGTGCCGGTCGCTGAGGTGATACGTTCTTCAGTCGAACTGTCCAGATCATCAATCAGTGCAGCTGCGCCTAAAGTAGAGGTGCGTAAAGCTTCCGGAGGATGCGATGTTTGATGGACCTCATCAACGACTTCTGGTTTGCTCGCTTCGTGAGACGGTAGCCGAGCTGGCGATCGACGAGAAGAACTGGGGAGTGAGTCTCTTTGCTCTACTCCTGAATGAGTATTATCCGTCTCACTAAGCGATCTCTGTGCCGTGAAATCCCTCGCAACTCTTACCCGTTTTCGTCTTCGACCGCTGCCTGAAGACGCACTTGCAGTAGTTTCAACTACTAACAGTTGTTTTGTTTGGGTACTNCCGTGACTTTCTTGCCCTTCGTTTGGAAGATGCCCTCGATTTCTTTGAAGGGGCCGCTGGAGTGCTGGCCGGTTGTTCTTCACTTTTTCTCTTTCCTGCAGATAATGCCTCAACAATTGCAGGGAACGCGCTTCGCTCTGGGGTGGGCTGAACGACGTGAGCTGCGGCAGCCTGCTGCGCCCTGGGCTTGGCTTGAGGCAACATCAGGCCTGCGTTGAATTCGTCAAAAACCAAAGGCACGTTTAAGGGAGCTGCAGAACTCGGCACATGAAATCCTTGAAATGATGAAGGTGCACTGCCAGCCGCAGGAAGGGCCGATGAGCCGTATCCCGCAGAACCACTGGAGACGGAACCGTCAGCAGATGGCAGCAGCATCGAAGAGAACCCTGCAGATGTGGACGGTCCTTCGCCTAGAGACTCAGGAGACCCCCGCATATCAGCGGAGCCTCTCAAAAAGCTATAGTCCGTCTGCGTACCAGGTCCCTGGTGGGGCAGGGACCCGTCAGCATATGGCAGCAGCATGGTAGAGACCCCTGCCGAAGTGGACGGCCCCTCGTCTAGATACTCATTGCCCTCCAATATGTCAGCGGACCTTGTCAAAAAGCTATAGTCCGTCTGCATAGCAGGTCCCTGGTGGAATCCTGGGGTCCCAGCGGAAGAAGAAGGCACGGATCCGTCCCATTCCGGCGACGAAGTACTTTGTGCGCCAGTGTGCAGGTCCTCTCTGCTACCGGGAACGTGCTGCCACGGTTGACTGTCCCCCCAGTACATCTGTGGCGGCATTCCATAAGGTTGCATCGATTGGCCGTGCTCCTGCTCCATTTCCACACAAAGCTCCAGTATTGCGGCGAGGTCAGGGTCTTCGTCCGATTCACCGTCATTTCCTGCTAGCTGTCGTCCGTCTCCTGCCTTTCCTCCCAGTATATACCGGGATCGGGCGCATTTTGTCAAGATCACCAGGACCGCCAAGGTGGAGAGCAGGACGGCCCATGCATGATATACAGTCAACCTAGGTGATCGCCGAGGCCTCCTCAACGCTCCGGGCCTGGCCAACCCTTCCCTGGTATTTTCTTCTTCAAGGAAAAGTCCAGTCGAATCTTTCAACTGGGCCAACTTCGTCGGCGCATCGGGTGTGTCTATGGACCGTTGCATGGGTGCGGGATTCTTTTAGCGCCAGGCTGCTCGCATCTATGGATGAACACTAGTTCCTGTATATAGGGAGGCAAATTAGAGGAATTCCATGCGAAATAACAATCTGGATGAAGACGCTAATGTGGTTAGAGCATAAAGTTGCCCCAACGCAGGATGGTGCTACGATCGACGTAGTTCATAGGGCTGCCCATTCAGCATTCCATTCCCTTAGAGAAATATCTATTAGGCTTTACTATTAGCACAATGAGCGGAAATCAAATAGTTCACGGTTTCAGGAACTCGAAGTGGCAGGTCATCGGGCTTGGCGCTCTGTCCCTCATTGAAGCTGCCGGTCACCAGGGAGGCGAGTGTATCGCAGTTGAACCTCGCCGCCAAAACGGAGCTTCTTCGGACAAGGAAAAGCGCACGACGAAGCCATATCTCCATTTATTCCTAAGGTTGTTAAAAAACGTTAGTCTATTTTCCTTCGTATATTGCAGAGCGGTTCCGCACGCACACTGCGAAACATACGCCATATCCTTTATACTGCGTCCTCGGCGCTGTGCCGGGATGCACGCTACGAACGGCGCAAACATCTTAGTCCCGTATAGTTGCAGTTGGAGGCGCTTTAAGGTCGATTTGCAGCAATGTAACACTGTAACACTGTAGCCTGGTCACTTCGGCGTTGGTACGACAATTTATGCTTACGCACAGGTTGGCTACACGGATCACGCTACAGTTCGAGCGTGTGCTCGACTTGCGTATGGGCAGTCTACCTTTGGCCTAGTACCCGTTCTAGAACTACCAACAGTGTTAGTGCATGGGCCAAAGGGGAGTTCGTTATACTTGCACGCTGTGCAGCAGGCGTTGCCACAAGGTCAGCTGCAACTCGGCGTGGGGTCTCCTTGCAGCAGTTCACCTCGCCTCTGTGCCATCGTTCCAGAACTCGTGGAGACTTGGAAGGTTAGCTGCTCTTCCGAGCTTTTCCCTTGAATTGTTTAGATCTGTTGCACTTCGCGACGGCCTTCGGATAAAGTCGACGACCCTCGTTACACTTCCCGTATAGTCAGCCCCACAAACCAGCATCAGCACACTGATTCCCCCCGCATCCTTGTACACTGTAGACAATCGCTAAGTGGCTGCGTCCAGAAGCCCTCATGCGCACAAGCATGGATTCATACACGTATTCAGGCAGACTCTTCCGCGTGGATAGTTATATTCCCTGGCTGGTTTACGCGGTGTCCGTGCAACGCTTTTCTGACTCATTCACATGAATGCAATCTACCGATCAGTCTGCCTTTATTGTTCTAGTGGTGCCTGCTCATCACTCTCATTGTGTGTAGTTTCAGATTATACTGCCAGTTGGAAGTGGATCCTTGCACGTTGAAGAGCCAACAAAACAGTGTTTTTCCCCAACATACAAATTTGAGGGGTGCCTGTCAGCTCCTGCAACAGCCCTGGAAACGTTTCGCAGGGGCCATATGCATTGCTTCAATGTTGTTTGTCTAGTGGGGTGATCGGCCCCAAGCTTTGCTGATTGAGAGGCTAGGCGAATGCACCAATCATGAACTACCTGCGCTTGTTCGTCGGTCTCACGAAGGTAATATCCAGTAAACCACATCCTATCGAGACAATCCATATAGCTCCCCTATGCTACAAAATATGCTTTAGCTTGCGCCCAGCAATGGAATGTCCTTACTTGAGGCTGTCTCTATATTCTTGATCATCATTTCTCCAAGGATCCCAACGGTGACCTTTGAAAGCTGGGGGTGAGGTCGCTTTGCAAAACAACCGTCTCTTCAGCAGAATGGTTGCACCCATGCTAGGACGGATGCCATTCTTAAGCATCTCTATTGCTCCGCTCAGGCCTTTGACGAGACGCATATTCGCTTCAAATTGAGTTCCGAACGACCGTGTATACTGGTATTCCACCTCGTGCGGAATGCTTGCCACGACCTCCTGCCACCAAGAGCTGGCGTTCCCTGCCTCCCCCAACACCTCTCTTGCGACAAACAGGAAATCCAGTATTATATAGCGGAAGCCTAGGGAGATAACAGCCTTCTTAGGGATTAGGTCATTCACAGGCGTCGTATGGAAATGCAGTAGATATCCTACAAGAGTTTCCATTTTGCAGACGAGAACTTCTAGATCCGCTTGAACAATCATATCTTTCATAAGCAGTGACCGCATCATCCGCAGAAGATCATGTATTGAATCGAAGGAAAGTATACGTGAACGAGCAGAAACCAAAGAAAACGGCCTAGTGGTGGCACCTGGTTGCAACGCTGGGGTCCAATAAAAAGGATGGCCCCTCCGCGGTAGGGGAGGTGTAGGGCTTGTCGCTGAGGTGATGCCTTGTGCAGTCACACTTTCTTCCGGGCAACTACCCGGTTCGTGTGCTCTGGGAGAAGAGCCACGGGATTCTGCCGAAGTAGTTGATGTTTGATGCACTGCACGGACCAACGGCGCGCCGCTCGCTACCTGAGACGGTGGCGTAGCCGGAAATGGATGAGAACTTGAGAGTGAGTCACTTGAAAGCACATCTAAAGGGCTATCGTTCGATGCGCTAATCGGGCCCTGCATCATAGAATCCCTCTCAACTAGTAACAGTTGCATTTGTTGGGCACTGGTCAAAGACGCAGTTGCAGTAGTTTCATGCATCTGTTGCATGTTTGGCATTCGTCTGGAAGAACCCCTTAATTTCTTTGAAGGGGTCGCTGAAGTGCTAGTCGGTTGTTTTTCACGTTTTCTCTTCCCTACAGGCACTGCCTCAAACACTGCAGGGTACACGCCTCGCTGCGGGGTGGGCTGAAAGAGGTGGGTTGGGGCGCCAGGCTGCGCCCTGGGCTGGGCTTGACGCAACACCCAGCCTGCATTGAAGTCGTCGAAAGCCAAAGGCACGTTTAAGGGAGCTGCGAAACTCGGCACATGAAATCCTTGAAATGATGGAGGTGCACTGCCAGCCGGGGGAAAGGCGTAGGAGCTGTATCCCGCAGAAGCCGTGGGGACGGAACCGTCAGCAGATAGCTGCAGCATCGAAGAGAACCCTGCAGATGTGGACGGTCCTTCGCCTAGAGACTCAGGAGACCCCCACATATCAGCGGAGCCTCTCTCAAAGCTATAGTTCGTCTGCGTACCAGGTCCCTGGAGGAATCCTGGGGCTTGCACATAGGAATAAGGCAAGTGTACATCCCAAGGCAAGAACGAAACACTTTGCACGCCTGTGTGCAATTCCTCTCTGCTACGCGAAACGTGCTGCCGCGAATGAGACGGTCCCCAGTGCATCTGTGGTGGCATTTCAGAAGGTTGGGAAGGCGCGCTTTGTCCCTCCCCCAGATCCATGCACAGCTCCACTATTGCTTCGAGTTCAGGGTCCTCATCCGTTGTTCGCTCCCTTCCTGCAAGTTGGCGCCCCGCACGCATCCTGCTTGTCAATGTGGATGCGGACCTCGCGCATTTTGTCAAGATCACAAGAACTGCTAGGACAGAAAGTAGGGTAGCCCCCACAGGGAAGGTAGTCAAACTAGGAGATTTCCCAGATATCCTAAATGCTCCACGTCTCGACACCCCATTTATGCTATTCCGTCCTTCAACGGAAAACCCGTTGGCTTCCTGCAATTTCGCCAACGTCGTCGGCGCATCCTGTGTGTCTAGGGACCGTTGCATCGGCGGGTGCTGTTGTACCTCCAGACCCCTGGCCTCTGTGGATCGAGAGTGGTTCCTGAAAATAGGGAGACAAATTAAGGATATCCGATGGAGAATAATAACTTGGATAAAAACGCTGTTTTGAGTTATGTTAACGGATACTCCAAGGCCTGGACAATTCCCGGACCGCAGCTACGGGGCTAGGCTTCCAGCCTCGTACTGTTCTCAACAGATTTCCGTTAGCGTTTTTTAAGAAGAAAGTAACATTCAAATAATTTAATCTTCAGTTTTTCGAAACTCGAGGTGGTATGTCGTTGGGCTTGACGCTCTGTCCAACCCCCAGGAGGCGGCCGGTCACCAAGTAGGTTGCCAGTGGATCGGCATTGTCCATGACAGAAAAAGAGAGCCGCTTCATGCAAAGAGTAAGCAGGAGCAAACGCACTTCTAATCTGAGTTTCTGAGTCTTTTGGACAGCTCATTTGCAGAGTTTTCACTCGGAGAGGACGTATCCCGCACAGATGTTCTGACGCTTAGACACAAGGGATGGTATGCTTAATGTTCCAGTATACTATATTGTATCAGGACGCCGCCCAAATGAAAACAAGAAATGTAATATTCTGCACTGCAGAGCAACCATATATCGCCCATTTATCCCCTTCATTGCTGAGATGAAGGCTACGGGCTGCGCAAACTTCGCAACACTGCAGAGCTGCGGTAGCAGGTGCGCAGAAGTCAGCGTGCAACTAGCCAAGCATTGTGGGGTGGCCGCTGTCAAGCTTGTGCAGGCATTCCTTCCTGCCCATAGGCTGGCTGGTGCGACCCTATGCCCTAGTCAGCGTTGAATTATTCACTCCATCGTTCATGCACGCGAGCTTGGTAATGTTTGCATGTGTTGGCGCCTGCCACACGATTTACTGGAAGATGTGCTTGTAGCATGCATTGTGCGACGTTGAGGTATGATGCTCTTCTTGCGTGTCGTGTAGGATGCTGTGTCTGGAGTTGGACCGCATGTTTCTACTTGCGAGCAGGCTGCCTACTGGGGGACAACTATGTGTTTGAGATCTGCCAACAG